CTACGGGCGCGGGCATACGCAGCGTCTCGGCCATGTCGCGCATCACCTTTGACTCGGAGCGTATGATAAACTCGAATAAGGAATCCGGGAGTATCTTGGGAAAGGGAGTGCCGCGAAGCACTCGATTGATCATATATACAAGTGCTGTAAACCCATCCCGAGCTAAATGCCCGGTGTCGAAGACATCGCATAAGTTCCTGATGCATGTCGCGTGAGTTTCAACCGGCCGTCAGCTGTCGATGGTGCGTACCACAACGACTCAAGGTATGAGAGACCCTTCATATCCGCAATACAGTTAAGTTCGTAGAACGCTCTCACGGCGTCGTACGCAGTACCGACATCAGTGAGACCGTTGCCGTATACGTCGAGCATGTCGCGGAAGAACTCGCTTGCTAGCTCCTCACATCGCGTCGAAGGGTTTCCCCAAGGCTGATTCGGCGCTGACGAGAGTTGAGTACTCGTGCGTTGACAGAGAACATTAGGCGCCGATGCTCACCTTCAAGTACACTCTTAAACAGCCGTATTTCCTCGCCGTGATCCACTCTCGTGTCTGACTCTTGACCGGAATCGTTGTTAACCGCAGGATCTCCAGCGCCAAGCAATTCAGAAGGAGGCTGTGGGCTAGTCAACGACCGCCATGAAGGCATGATATGAACACGAACCATCTTCCGCGCTGGTCCCCGAAATTTCGATGATACGATCTGTCTGTCACTACTCCAAGGATGCGTTGTTTTGAGGTACTTTGCATCTTTCTTCACTCGTCTCATGTAGCTGAAGGATAGGCGAGGGTCGCTCTCGTTGTAATACGGGTTCACATGCATATGTTCGGTATTGGGCGGTGACGAGCGCGTTCTTCTGCCCAGAACTGACGGCGGAGCTGTGGGCGTTTCAGTGGGATTGAAGATAGGTGAGAGATTCGGGGGGCACGTACGGGGACTAGAGGTAGCGGGATGATCCATGGAAGGAGCATGCGGAACACCTATCATGATTTTTCGGTAAGAAAAAGACAGCAGAACTTGCAGCCCAACGCTGTCTATATATGAAGGAGCTAGCCAAGTGTGCTTGCGCTTCCGAATCGTACACCCAGCGAACCCCGCTTCTAACGAGTGAAGCGGACTGAGGGGTACACTGCCGCTGCGCATGACCTGCATCCGCTTGTCCAGATGAGGCGCGAATCGGAAAGATAATCAGGAGATTTCGCGATATTTTTACTCTCATGTCGCACAGAGAGGGGCGGTTCAAGGATACTGCGAGCTCGGGGGGTTTGAGGTAGAGGGAATAGATTGAGGAGACCACTTGAACGCTTGGGCATCGACGTTGAAGGCCAAGAGGTGTCAGTATACGAAGATGACGCGTTTGGAGCCACGTCGGCCGGACCGATTACCCCGCTTCGCGCGACTAGCTCATCCCTGTCGTTTACCTCTGGTCTCCGACCACCTAAGCATCACCGTGTATACTCCCGATCCTCATGCAATTGCAGGAGTGGACGATCCGAGGAATCTTGCGACCACGCTCTGTACGCTTCACCGACTCCCGTTTGAGCTTGGCGCGCGGAGTTTCCGCAGTAAAGCGCGCTCGATCGGACAAGGCCGCTTCACGAAACATCGATGGATGGCTCAGCACCCGGCACGCGCGTATGGTATGTACCCAGGGTGCTCGGCGCTTCAGCGCTTGGCCGTCAGGTCAACGTTGCAACCCGGTTGCCTGGGCATTCTGCCAGGGGTCCTATGTCGAACTCGCGCGCCAGAGTGAATCGTCATCAATCAGTGTATACGGGTACGTATGTCAACGTACTGTCAACACGATTGCGGTCGAAGACTGATTGCGGTCGAAGAATGATCGAACTCGTACATTTCCATCAAATGCGCCATCGCAACAGATTACTGCACCGCTTGCCGCTTGCCGCTTACCGCCCGCTTGCTCTGGTTCAACCGCCAGGGCCACACTCCCTCTGACTTATCTCGAGGTGTTCTTATTGTGCAGAACATATATGTATCGTGCACGAAGTTACACGGATGAGGTCAATCTCCGGAATTAGCGAACTTTGCACACCCTCAGACTGCCGTACGAGTTTGCGATGTCTTCTCTCAGTTCCCCCGCGATGTCTTCTCTCATCATGGACCTACGACGCCGACCTAGTCCACCTCGCTTCGTCAATTACTGCGTCGGGCTGCTATATAGTCAGTTCAGATGTTCACTCCGCCGACCCGGCAACCGCTGACGCTGATTCATTTGTGCAGCTCTTCTGAGAGACGGAAATAGCCTTGAGTTATATCCCTCGTATAGTCGCGGTGCGGTGCTCGCTTTGAATTTCAACACACGTTGAAGATCTAACGAATCATCGGCCAGGGCTGTCAACTTCCAGCATGATCCAAAGGACTGAGATTCTACGCTCCATCCTTCTGAACACCCACGTACGCCCCATTGTCTTCGGTGAGCAGATTCATAGCCACAAGTGATTGTCCGTCTGACACCCCGTCAAGCGGTCCATACAGATCATACCGGGCAAATCAAGAAGGTGAGGGTTGCTATGGAGATCATTCACGTATGAGTCTGAAGTCCTATGTAGCGAGTTTGCATACAGGGGAAAGACATCCTGATCGCCATTCTACGGTACGAACCACATCGTCTTATCATGCCCCCTCTATCTGACATGCTCCTCGGACTGGGTAGATTCATGAATGGGGTGGTGAGTGCTACATCGTTTGCCTGCCGACGACGTACACGCGACTGACATTCGCTTCAGATCTGCTGTCAGTTACTTTGATCGCTTGCTCATAGCTATTGCATGCTGATACTTGTTTCCAACTTCGCTAGATAGAACCACGTGAGTTCATCACTCTCTCGAGATAGTATACCTCTCACTCAATACCCTTGTTAGCGAAGAAGAGGAGCTATGGTTTCGGTCGTATGGCAATTGCCCCGAGCGTATTCTCCTTCCGCAAGCACACCGGATGCATTTTGCACTCAAACAGATACCATGTATCGAATACTACGACATTGCACCTGATGTAGAGGCCGAGATACATCGCGTAAGCTTCTCCTTTGGTGATTTGGCCACCTGTCATTCATATTCTTGCCAGCGCTATGCATACTACTGAGCTCTCCTGTCAACTTGACGCGTGTCCTGTGCCTTGCATGGCGCTGCCGATGGAATGGCTTCGTATATCACTCATCGTTATATTCGCGCTTTGAAATACGCTCATACATACCACGAGATGTGTGATGAATCAGCGAGCGTCCGATCTCTCAGCACGCAACACCAACTAGCTGCGGGTCGTTTTGAGACAGGCATTGGCGTTTGTACGTGCCCAGCCTCATGTGCATGTTGATGATCCCCGATACGGGGGAAAGTGCCGTCGCTCGCCGTCCCCTATGAGCTCGAGGGTGACAACCTTGCTGCAGCAATAGACGCAACAAGGGGGACGGGCCCGGAACCGCCTCGTTGAACGCGGTCGCACGAGACATGCCCTGGTTGCGCGTCCCCGAGCCTGCGCGCGCGAAAGGTGTGAAGCCGTATAAGCCGCGAACTGCTACGCGCGGGTGAGCATCCAAGCGGGAAACAGGAAAAGAGAGCCGAAGCCCGGCGAGAACTCCATCGTGTAGCGCTGTGCGGTGTTAGAAGAGGGAGTGTGCGTGCCAATGGGTGGGTCTAATTGGCATTACCGGCCGTTGATGGTTCGTAAGAGGGACAAGTACGCTACACCGGTGTACGGCAGCGCCACGATGCGTTGTGAGAGTTACGGGAAACCTGGGAGACGGAGGTCGGGAGCTCGGTACAAAATACATGGCGACAGTCTTATGCAGAAACATGAGAGACTTTGGAGAACAATTGAGCCGAGATATAGTACAAGAGAGAAAGATGTAAAGTAGAGGTGCCGGTGGGTGGGTACAAGAACGAACAACGCGCTTGCGAGGGCACAACAGCGCGCTGCAGCGCGTAAAGGGAGCTCAACAGCCTCTCTGCTGACCTATATCCTCGCACGCGAGCATTTCGGGAAGCCATACCCCTCAGCACCTGACAACCGCAGGTCTATCCACTACTCGTGATGGACACGCCGATTCGGTATAGACCGTGCGCGCACAAATGCGGGCACTGAGATACGGCTCGCCAAGGAACTGCGACAGACACACAACACATTAAGCTGTCGCAGGCATTCACGCAATGCGGCTTGGATGCGATAGGTGAAGGGCAAAAAGCGGGGGCGCGAGAGCAGCGCGCCGCGTCGCTGTAGAAGGCTACACGGGTCCAGCGGATCACGGCAAATGCCGGGACGCGTCTCGACCTCGCAACGTTCGACGCGTTCACTGTTCAGGCGCCAAAGCCGAAAATGACGCCTCACTATAGAACACAAGCGTCAACGAGCGATGACAAGTACTAGAGGACACTCGTCCCAGTTGCAGCATAGGGAGCTCGAGAGACAATGTGCGCCATCTCAGCGGACGCAAGGTGGAGGGAGAGAAAGGGCTTGATGATCATTCAGACAGTATATTGCCCGAGTATTGGCTCAGCTGAGCGAGCGAAGCATAAGCGCCTCACTGCTGTATGTAGGGGGTCCCTTCAAGCCATATAATATAAACGCGTCATTCAGAAGCAACCGCGCACAAGATAGCTCGGATCCGACACTGCTAGCCAAATGAGCATCTGTGCAGGTCTCCTGCCATGACGCGCCGTGGGCGCCGTCAGGGGACCGCGTTTCGGGCCATCTCACAGCCCAAGCGTAAACTACGCTGCAGATGTTGCAGCTATCATTGGCACTCGCGGCGGGTCGTTATCGGGTGGTTTACTCTGCGGGAGGGGTCTGCGCAGGCGACGTCGCAGTTCGAATCGCGCTGGACATGGCAGCGCATGCGGCATCAGGCAAAGATCGGCTGCTGGAACTATTTCCCCACATACTTATATCAGAACGACCGCGAGTAAAGGCTAGGTGGGTACAGAGGATGCTCCGGCACTCGATTACGTTCCGTGAATCCGTAGATACAACATAAGCGCAGTAATTCTATATCTGTGCCGTAACCTTCCTCCTGCGAGCTCTAACACCGTACAGATAAGCCTCGACGTAAGCCTGTTGCTCGACCCTTTCACGGACTTTCTCCTTATACTGTGTGGTCTGCTGGCGAGGTGACTTCCGAATCTCCTCCTGAACGAGTCGATCCGGCTGTTGAATCCGGTTAGCGGCGGGAGTTCCACTGCGAGATTGACTCGACGGCAACGACATGAGATAGGGCACCGGTGATCCAACGTCGGAAGACGAGATAACTGGACGCAAAACCGGGGACGCTGGGATGGCATCTGCCGTCACGGCGGAGGTGGAGGGCACAAATCCGGTATGAGCGGGAATGACAGCAGCGGTCGTGTCTGGTTTGCAGGACTCTCCGCAGTTGAGCTTCAGGTCAATAGTAGACGCTAAGTCGAGGTGCTCTTCATCAATATCTTCCAAGTCTTTGATCCATGGCAGGTCTGCGACTTGCGCCATCGACCACCGGGAGACTGGGTGACTCGCCAGCAAACCTTCGAGCATCAGCAGACCTAAAGAGCACAAGCTCAGCAGCCCGTCGTTTAATATACCGAGAGTACGGACCTTGGTATGGCAGAGCTTTGTTGTCGACCAATTCCCACCGAACCTCACGCGAGTGTAGCCAAGGGTTAGGATCCGCCGCGGAAAGAGCCATCTCAGTTTTGAATATGGATCGCTTAAGACCGACGAGCCTGCGTCCTTGGCAATCAGATCATCAAGGAAAGTAGACCGATATTAGGACCACGTACAGGTGGAATCCCGTAGCGCCCAAACTGTATGAGTCGACTTTGTGATCATACCCCTCACGCCGTATGATTTCGGGTGCCATATAGCGGAAGGTGCCCACGAGAGTGTGCTATGAGGTAGGGCAATAAGTGCATGTAAGTATCAGAGTTATGAAAGCAAGACCCACCATCTCGAACGCGTGTGACTCCCCTGAGTGCGCCGCTCCAAAATCCGTAAGAACGACGACTAATGGAAACCAGGATTTAACCAGAATGTTCTGCAATACATCAGGATACAGGAACGTTGCGACTGACAGGGAACAAACCGTGGGTTTAACGTCTCTGTGTACGATGCCGTGCGAGTGAATATGAGTCAAAGCGTCGCACAGTTGTTTCATGATCGTCCGGAATTGAAAGATATCTAGCAATGATTAAAAATGCGGATAGTATATGTAGGAACTGGACGCACTGGCGCCAACCGAGTTCCCAAAGTGTCGCGTGAGATCTCCAAGTGCCATGTACGGCATAAGTATGTCTGCCATAGCGATAGTCAATAGAGGGATATCCGGTCTCATCACACATGACGTACATATCGTGTCGTGCTCATCATCCTGAAAGGCTTCGATGACTGCACATATGTTTGGATGAGAACGAGCTTCCTGGGACAAAGTCATCTCTATGATGACGTCCTCGTAGCTGTTTCTTCCACCCGATTCACTGTAGTCGAGAACCTTGACGGCGTAGACTTCCGACGGGCGAGAACGACGAAAGAACTTGTAGACGTCGCCGAAAGAGCCTGAACCTAACTTCGCTTCGCACCCGTATTCGGATAGAAAGGGGTTGTAGCTTCCCCATAAATATTGGTACGAGAAACCTGTAGCCTCCGCATTTGAATCGTGTCCACAGATGGTGACAAAAGGAAACGCACCACAAGACAGCGAGTCGTCGACTGGTCCCAACCAAACTCTATCTCCATCCTTCAACTCGACGCACTGACCAGGTGGCACTCTGCATCCGTTGACCTACGCTATAGTATAAGCAGAAGGTGATGCTTCCCTAGAAGTAGAACGTACGTATGAACCATTTCGGCTGTCGCAATCCTTGAGCACAGCCGAATGGCGCTCAGGATGCCATATCACGATGGCATGAGTGGAACCTGACAGGGAGTCAGTACCGACATGCCGCGCACAAGAGCTGAAGTACGCACTGGTGTTGCGCCTCGAGTCGTCGATCCAGATGTCGGGAGGGACGTCCAAGGTCGATCGTCGCCCCACGGCCCATTCGTTCTTCGCGGAAGACAGAAATACGCCGTTTCGTTGCGTGAGGCCGAACCCGCCATTGACAGGATGTAGCTTCGCAAAAATATTCGTGAACTGCATTGTGATGAAGATTAGTCTATCGTATACCTCCACCCATAATATATACTTGCCGTGCTCTTTCTTCCCGTTTCTATTGCCTACAGATCACGTTGAGAATCCCGACGCGCTTGTCCCAATGGTTGAGGCGGGAAAGATGCCGATCGTAATTATGCGATCCGCGATGTACAGCAAGTCGCGATTCTGAGTCGAGGCGTAAGCGGAGGAGGCCGGTCCGCATGTCATGGAGGGCCGCGACAAGGCTTGCGGGCGCCGCTTGTTCGTCGCCTAGGACTACATCGCTTTCTCACCCTTTCCACTCGGCGGGCGAAGCCCACATACGCGTTCCGCCTCCACTGCAGCTTGCGCATGCGACGTCGCGCCACTTCGCCTCGTAGAATGGAGGCGTGAGATATCGGGCACCATACGCGCTTCTTCAAGCGCGTTGTTAGCAGCTCTCCGCTTCCAACGTCCATTGGGCAGGCCTGGTCTACGTTCCCGCTATTACAGCCTACGCATGCGCTGTCGTGCCAAAATTTCCTCGTAGTCGCGCCGATGCCGCGCTAACGGCCGTGATAGTCTGTATGACATACGTTCTTCAGGCGCATCTCCAAGCGCGTCGTTAGCTGGGCCTGTGCCCTGCGCCTCCGATTATCTTTCGTTTCAAGACACTGCCCCCTCTCTTCGGATGTGCTTGACCGAAGCTCCCTCGTCCCTTTATAAGCGGATACGGTTGAGATGTGCTTGCTTATCAAGCTCTCTGGAGACCTCCTTGCCTTGAACTTTCACGCCCGGACATATGCCAAATCCTTTCATGTCAGTGAAATTCCAACGTTAACTTTGGTACAGACACTCATGTTCATCAGAGACAACACATATATAGAGCGATGGCGGGCTGGCCACTTGAACGCTGAGGTCAAGCTATCCTTCAGATGTACCCATCGTTCGTCACTGACAGAGTGCTACAGGTGATGCAGGCGAATCTCCCCGAGCATATACTAGCAACTGTGGACTCTACTTGTTGGTCGCGGTCTATGTACGCATAACTTGCGAGCATCGAGCGGCACTTCTCATTGACCATTTGACTCCCTAGATCCACGGAACCAGTCGCGTCGTCGAACAATAGTCCAAATTACGACGAGAGTCCGTCGCAAAGTTCTATGTGAGTGGCGGATCTTGTCATCAGCCCTACACATTGACAAAGTGGGGTAGATTCATGTTCGCGTACACTTGGACTCGGGCCTTACTGCGAAACGCCACGCGGGCGATCTTGGGCGTATCTACTTTGGTTGGTGCACAACACCGCGAGCCAGCGAAGACGAACTCATGTCAAATTCAGCCAGTGTTAGCGTGGTGGACTTACACATGCGCAACGATCTCGCAATTGATCTACGAGACCCCTGCGAAAACGGCGTCGAGTTCTGCTCCGTTTCCGATAGCTGGAGACCCGGACTTCGAGGCCCTGTTTTGGCGTCAATTGGGCTACGAGGAGCTGTTCGCACCTTGGGGCTTCGATGACGTCCAAACCGACGACGACGTTGAGCGTCCAAGAATCATGATGCATACCTGGCGTGCTCTCTCGCCCCCAGTAACTCCCTGGTTGTGCCCAATCCATGTCTATACTGATACCCCCGCGCCTACCAACTGGGCTGGATATCCCTCAAGCCTCGCACCGGATCATGCCCAGGGCGAGGACGCTAGCGACGACGACGACGACATCCCTTCCTTGGTCACCGCCAGTGACTGGGAAGACGTGCAGTGGGAGGTACAGCAGCTCCAGCTACGGCGCATGCGGCGCCGGCGTCATAGGCTGATTCTTGGGGCGCGCAAGAGATATCAAGCCTATGTCCTCGAGATGAAGCGTCAGGGCACGCGGAGGATGCGTTTCTCGGTATGGAGGGAGTGGTATCATAATCGGAACTTACATTCAAACCGTCTTGGTAGCACATTCAATGCCGAAGGAGAGTGAATGCCGTACAGTACGAGACAGGCAGCAGCATGTATTTATCTATCCGAGATCCGTAAATAACTATGTGATCGGTACCTGAGGTATAGGAAACCATTAGATTACGAATAGGATACCGAAGGAAGTCAAGATGATTGAGAGCCCGACGCGGTAAGAGTAAGCGAGACAGTGTACTCGGTTTATTGATTTGATGGGCGTAAGTAGAGCCCGCCTCGTGCACGCTCAGGGTTGCAACCGGGGTTCGAGCCGGTAGTGATGTCGGTGAGTGGAGCAGTACCAGCTACCGAGTAGCTTGACGGCTGTCAGTCGACATCTATATCTCTTGGCAAACATAGGAACGTACAGAACAGGTTTGAGGAGGCGTAAGGTGCCTTGCCGGCAAAAATGAGACGGTCATTGAGCAACGCGATGACGCTGGCAAAGATCGGGCTCGAGCAGCTGGGACTAGCAACGAGGCCGTCTTGCCCACCGACGGCAATCGCAACGTTCCGATGCTGCGCGGAGATGTCGGGGGAGGCACGACCAGTGAACTTGCCGGCATTGGTGTTGCCGAGCTCAGCCCCATAGGTAGCGGCGCCCGCGCTCTAGTACGAGGGCTGCACATAAATGTTGGAAAGACCGCTGGCCGACGAGAAGTCTGCGGCGGTCTCAGTGATACCGGTCGTGGCC